AGTAGCAGGAGGAGCAGCAGGAGCAGCAAGAGTACAGGGAGGAGAAATAGGAACAGCAGGAGGAGGAGTAGGAGCAGCAGTAGGAGCGTCCTCGTTATTGCGGCAGTACTTGTAATGATCGGGGTAGTGGTAGTGGTACTGTTGATGGTGGTAGCAGCACCTTCAATCCTACTGCAGTAGCCGTTGGGACCACGCGGTTGTCAATAGTCGGCTCATGAAGAGCAATAGCTCTAGTTTTCTCGATGATAGCAGCAGTGACAGCTTTGGTGAGCAATATCACGCAGCCTAAGTGAGAGGGTGGTAGCAGTGATACTTGCAAGACTGTTCAACAGAGTTTGCACCGCTGATAGCTGACTGTTGTAGCTACGACAGGGGCAAGGACCGTCATCCAGCAGACTTTCCTGATTTAATTAAAGGTGCCTCGGGGAGGCTGGACCAGTGATGCATATCTTCGTATGCAGAGCATCATCGCTAGCTGGGGCTTAATAATAAGACACCAGAACTTGCCACGCAGAGTCGAGGAACTCTGACCTGAAGCATCTTCCGGCACAAGATGCTCAACAGATCCGGCAAAGGATTCTCGGACCGGTGATGGGATTTTGGACAATGGTGATCATATTCGCAACTTCAGGAGCATCCTTCGTGGCTTGCATGGATCGGAGCACTTGGTTTCTCGAAGTGAAGGCTTGACTCATCGAGCTTGCATGTGAATTGAAACAGCTGACCTGCAATCAATATATATATATATATATTTATTTATATATATATATATTTATATTTAGACAAACAGATACAAAAAGCCACACTGAGGCTGCGACTGCGCTTGGGCTGCACGGCCCCTTGCCAAATTCTACTCAGCAAATGCACATGATATGGCGTTACCACAAGAGTGTCAAGTACAAGTCCTTCACCCAACTTTCAACGGACAGAAGCTCGACTGCAGCATGCGTCAGGCCAAGCAGTCGCTTGTCTCTGGAGCAGACCTGATGGATGCAGTCTCCTCGCTGGGACTGACACGCTGCTCTGCCCAATGTTGGATATATGGTTTATTCGGATTTAGGATCACACGGTGAACTTGATTATTGCGTCTCGCTTAGACTTGCGTACCCGGCTGTCATGCAACACCAGAAGTGAACCTGCAGTGCTTCGTTTAAGTCTTGCCTTCACTGGTCCCATTTTTCTTGGCGACATTTGGCGAGTACAAGCAATCTGGACAAACGGCAATCGACACAGTATCCCAGCCGCTTGAGTGGATGCGGAGGCTTCTTGCCGTTTAGCGATTTGTCTACACCTGCCCAGACTCACGTAGAAAGGTGAAGAGACCTTTGGATGGAGAGTCAAGCAGACATGTGAGACTCACAACTATGTGACTATGTGAGTGAAGCCAGAAAGGTGGAAGTACTGGGCATCTTCCGGGTTTCTTTCCGGAATCAATACGTCCACACATCAACTCCTTGATGCGTTCGTTAATTGGGAACTAGCTCATGTTAAAGCGCCCAGACCCTCAGCTGGAACTAATTATATATCGAAGGATACACAGAGGACGACATGAATGACCTCGTGAATGCCATGGGAACCTTCATCAACCTGCGCTTGCCGGAGGATCACGAGGCCACGAAAGCACCAGATTTAAGCCTCTCCCTCATCGATGCGGTGGCGTAGTCAGGGTTTTTGGCTGAAGGCTTTTGGAGCAACCCGCAACGCTGAAGTACCTTCGAGGCATCATCCTCCCCGCGCAAAAGCAACCGACAGAAGCTTGGATCGGAGTTTTAGTCTGTGTGGCAAGCACAGCAGTTGCATGGACCAGACAGCACGTCGTAAGGTTTCCTTAAGTTCTGCATCACCAAATCATCCAGTGGACCCAAGTGTTTTGCTTTTTCGGCCCAACATGGCTATTTGCGATTACAGACTTCGGGAATGAGGTGGTTCAAAGTTAAAGTATAAGTGCGCAGACCAGTCAGTCAGACAACCACCAGCTGCATCGTCTTTGAAGCGCCGCCGAGTCACCAAAGCTGATGCAGTAAAATCCATGTGCGAATGCATAATGCACACAACATGTGCATGTACATATATATATATATGTTTATTTATATTTTTATTTATTTGTTTAATCATGTTTATTTTTGAATTTACATATATTTATGTTTATTCATCTATTTATGTACATATGTATGTGTAAGTGGCTCTGTATGTATGTAAGTTTGTTTGTATGTGCGTATGTATCGGTACTATGAGATGGGGTCAAAATCAGCGTACATTGCATTTAAAGCAGGCGGTTGTCGAAGATGGCAAATGCTAGCGGTGACCTTTAAAACGATAGGGACGCCCTAAAGACGATACCCTCAACACAGCAATGTTGCCATTGTAACCCTTGGCTCCAGGTTTCTTTGAGAGAGGGTGTCGGGAGGTGAGGTGTTTGTAAAGGTGTCGAGATTGTCGGGATTGAAATTTTTGGAAATGAGACGACGTCCCTAAATTGGACAGAACGACACCCCAACGATACCCAAAATGTAGCTTTGAGTGGCCGAGATGGGCCCGGGGCCGTTCATGTACTGTGCCAGTACTATTCCTTGGACCAGAAGCCCGAAAGCCTCAAAACTGAAGACTCCAAACAATCCAATCATCTTTAAATTCGCGAAATCCTAGTAGCTTAGACCCCAGGCCTAAACCAACTCTCCGCACCACAAAAAGCTTCGCATGCTCTCAAGAAACCGATTCTTCATGATTGCAGGATGCCGCGCCCTTTCGACATGCAAGGTAGACGAAGCTCAAAACCCAATAGCCCCAAGGACTTCAAAAAGCCTCAAAGATCGCAACCCAAGGCCAAACCCCGGAATGCTGCACGTTTTTTTTCTATACTGTAGCCTCCTACTCTGAAGCAGTGTGTGGTTTAGGGTTTAGGGTTCCAGTGTACTTCAAGTTGCAAGCGCTGTAGAACGATTTGGGACGCCCTAATCTAAAAACGAAACTGGCATGGACAAATAATTTTGACGCCGACTCGTATGCGTCTGTTTGTGTGTGCATATTTCGAGAACAAAACACAAACACAAATTTATGTGTGTACATACACACACACATATATATATATGTATGCATACACAGATTTATATACGCATACATATTCATGCGTAGAGCTAGTGTGAATACGCGTAGATCATGCTGCATGTATGTAACATATGCTGCGAGAAACCCTAAACCTTAAAAGAAAAAGCCTAAACCCTGAGTCCGGCGAAAGAAAAACAGAGAGAGCGAGCGAGAGAGGGAGAGAGAGAGAGAGAGAGAGGCACGGACATGACGCGGACATATACGAACACGCGAAGTCGACCAGCAAATGGAAGCAAGCATGTTTCCTTCGATCTTTCTCGGTCTATCTCTCCGTCACGCCCTCTGTGTGTAAGTTTCTGTAAGGCGGAGTTATACACATATGGATGTGTACATATGTGTGTATATAGTATATGTACACACATATGTGTGTATATATTTTTTCATATACACATGTATATATGTATGTTTGGATGTGTATGTAGTTTTACTTTACACATGTCTATGCAAAAATGTGTGTGCGTGTATGTATTATATGTATAGATATTGTTGCACATGTATTTAAACACATAAGTGTTGGTATCTATTGTCTGTACATTTACATCTAAGTATGTATATATATATGTATATTTGTGTATATATTTGTACATGATAGTGCAAATAGTCATTTAGACATATAAACTTGTTCATATGTTGCAAGTTGTGAGAGCGTGACTATGCAGTACCAACAGATAAACAGTAAAAAGATGGCAGTGTGTTCATTTGTGATCATGATTTCGGTCTGATTTTCTGGAATTATCTCCGAGGACCCTTTTCGGCTTCGCCGCCTCTTCCAGTGGTGAAGGGCGGCGCTTGCCCACGCGCGATCAACAGCCTGTGTGGGAGCACCGTTGTTGGGTCCTACTTGGTGTTGGTTCACGATGGAACTGGTTTACTGACTCAGTGCCTAGCGCTCAGCACTGCTATTGTTCTCACATAGGAAAGCATTGTGGACAGTTACACGGCTGCATGTTGACAACCTTCTTCGGTCATGTTGCACAGTCAGCAAAGTAATGCAGGAATGTCGGGGCATGTAGGTTATTGTGAGAGCATCCACTACTGAAAGTGGGTGTCGAATTGATCCTGGTCGCTCTGCTCATGATGATGCCATGATTATTTTGCCCTGTCCGGACGGGAAGCCGCGCCTGATCCTTCCCAACAGGAGTGGCCTGCACATTGGCCAGACAAGGCTACTGCCAGCAATGCGAATTCGTCACGACCCATGGCGATGCTTGGCTAAGTTGGTCCATACATTAAGTTACTAAAAGGTTTGTTCTTACGTTCTATTTTCTCGGATTTTCGACTCGAGCAGTATTGCCACCACATTCGGAAACCGAAGCACTTCGATCGTAGTCTTGCCAATTTCGCTTGCCCTCCTTCGAGACATGTGACAGGACTGGTTTCAAGGTCTAACATCGATCACAGCCTTTGTGTGCAACATGATGCATGGCAGACGATCATACATTCCCTTTGGGCTGGCACTGCCAATGGTAACTGAATGCATACATTCGAAGCTTCAGCTTCTCGAAGTGCCTGCTGCGACACTGGTACTCGACACCGTCTGATCCCGCGATGGCAACAGCTGCTGGCATGATAATTTAGGTTTCAGTGTAGTCTGACCTGCAGTTGCTTGCTCTCGCAGGTCGATAAACTTTTCAGAGACACCCTGCGAGCTCGATGTGGTCCCACTTCAGGCTGCAGCTGGCCAGCCCTGCTTTTACAACTGCTCCTTGCAACAGGATTTCGCAGGTGACATGCAGCGGTTCACATTTCGCTTGTTCTCCGAATCTGTTTCTAGACATGGCAAAGTGCACTTGGAACTGCCATCCTCAATTGTCCCTGCATGGTTGTTGCAGGCGCTGACAGAAATCTTCTTGGCCCATGAAGGTGAAATTCACAAAAGGACGTTGGAGCTGGGGAAGTCGGCAAAATCTTGAACGAAAACATGTCCAAGCCTGCATTGGCTCCGCCCACTTTTCGCAAGGCATGGAGGTGTAGAAGGCTTTTACCAAGCAACAAGAGAAGGCATGACGTGCTGCACGCTGCAGTCAACATCGATGAAGCTGCATTGGCGCAGGATATTTGGGGCGAGACTGCTGAACCAGTTTCGGGCTGTCAAAGAGATCTTGCTGGCTGGGGATACGAACCGCTGCTTGGCCGGGAAATTTGCTGCCCGAGCTTTCAGCCGCAGGGTGGGTCGCATGAAGGCAAAGGAATGGCAGTTATCAGCAACAGAGTTGCTATCATCATCAGCACCCCTACCAACATCACAGCGAGCACCACCACGCTATGATCATGATGGTATGATGGTCATCAAGAACCCCATCACCATCGTCGTCATAGCCATCATCAGCAACATCACCATCGTCATCGTTACCACCGCCACCGTCATCATCATCATCATCATCACCGTCGTCGTCACTACGACAACAACAACACCTAGCAACAACAATAACAACACGACGATTATCAGTTTCGCAACTCTGAGCAGGATCACGGCATACACCTCTTGATACCTCTTGTCATCGTGTAAAGACATTTGACACCAGCATCTTCATCAGCATCGTCGAAGTCATGCTGTCATGAGTGCCCTAATTATCATCACTATGACCAGATGAATCACGGTAAGTTGCATCATCACCTGCATCATCATCAGCATGGTTCGGGACACTGAACATCGCGACCATGTTCTTATCAACTGCCCTGAACAGCATGAGGAGCACAAACCTGGCCCAGCTCGTCATTCCAAACCAGCAGCAACAACTTCTGCAACTTCTGGGGCATCGTTTTCCGTCGCGTTCCGTCGCCCTCGTCATCATGGTTATTTGGTTCATCCTTGCTACCGGCAGCATCACCGACACAGTAGTCAACATCGGCATCGACACATCATTATCACCAACATCATTACCCATGAATGTAACGGTTCGGTTCGGTTGCGGGTTGGAAACAGCGGTTCAGGTTCATGCGGTTCGCTTTCTCCGGTGGTTCCTGCGGTTCGGTTCGGGGTTCCCGGCGGTTCCTTAAACCCTTAGCAAAACATCTGCCCGTACACACATCCCAGATGGTGTTGCCGCCTATTTCTACTGTCGCCGCTACTTCTCGTCTACTGCTACTGACTTAAGACTACCACGACTTGCGGGAGTACGCTTTTCGCACGGTGTACTCCCCACCATGCTTAAGGGCTTCCGCGTTGCAGTGGGGATTTTTTGGTTTCTTTGTTTTTGGGCAAAGCTGGGACGGGCTGATTTCATTGCATGCTGGGATCTGGCCTTCATTCGCATGACAAGATAGTCTCACTGCAAGCACTTGCACGCCGTTTGAACAGCGTCTGTTATTCGCAGCCTTCATGACTCAAAGTCGGGCAACTGGCCATGTAGATGGTAATCGGGATGTGGCGGAGGCACTGCGTCGTGCTCACTTCCTTGGGTCCATCGCTGCCAGCTTCAATAGCGAAGACCTGGTTGCCTTAGGTAACGATGCACATTCGTTGCAAGCCATCCAGCAAGAGCTTCTTGTGGCTCATGTGACTGAGCACGAGACTGGTCCCATCTAGATTCAATATAGTCACCCTTCTTTGAGCCGCATCTTCTGTGACATGCACGCCATTTCAACTTGTCTTGCTTTTTGGCATCTGCTGCAGATGTAAAAGAGTCGGGCAAAGTTTTGCGCCAATTTTGTGACTATTTCTTGCGCAATTTTTTTGCAAAAAATTTTAAGGATTACAACTGCTCTAAAAAAGTCTGCGCGAAATCCGCGTTGCAAGCGGCGGAAAATCGGCGCAGAAATCGGCGGACGCAATTAGCCCCCTCTGTAGATAGACTCTTTGGTGGGTCAGGGCAGCTGTGCAAAACTGGTTTATGCGTTGTGTTGCGCTGAGTCTTCCGTTGGGGTTCTGCGGCGAGGTTTCAGGCCGACCCCTGAGGCGAGGTCGCTGGCACTCCGCTCACCGCTCTGTTCGGTCGTCGTTATGTTGCAGCTGTTGCGTGGAATCTTCTGAGTGCGTCGTTGCAAGGATAGCAGCTTACATGTCGATTTTGTTTTAAGTTAAGGTTCGGCCGGGACAGTCTTACTCTTGGCCTGTTGAGCACAGAGTTCCAGAGTACATGAACCCCAGTAAACATATCGACCTTAAAGTCTAATCTCAGTTCACATCTACGGGGGCCCTCCACCCCAGAGCGGTGTTCAGCGAATATGAAGCCCAACAAAAATGATGATATTTATCGGCGCCGAGCTTGTGCACGATCATCACCCCCAACATGCTTCTGCCTTTTGTGCTTGTGCGTGTCCGGTTCCTCATCCACAATCACCTGATCAACAGCACCACCACCACCAGCACCAACAGGACCGCCGCCGTTGCCGCCGCCGCCACCGCCACCACCACCACCACCACCACCAGCACCACCACCACGGCATGGCTACATCATCATTATACTGACATTTTTCTCCTGTGTGTATCATCATCATCGTGCAAACATCGCCAGGGGCTTCACCAGGGCATCAACAACCACATCCTTCGGCACTGCTCAAATGAGTCAACCACAGCTTTGAACAGGGTTCGCTGTGTTACTAGCTAGTCGTGGACCAGGCAACACTGCCCACAAAGACTTTTGCACCAGGTCTCGTGGCGGAGCTGACCTTTGTGCGGATCAATGACCTGGCAGCACCTCCAGAGCCTATGCATCCTCTAATGAGACTTGGTGCTATGTAACCCAGAACACAGGGCAAGTTTCGAGGGCTTTGTGTTTTCTGTCGTTTGTGGTACCGTAAAAAGCTAGAAGTGCTGCCACTGATTTTTTTCGCGGAGGTCTGCTGGCGCATTGATTATTCAGAGCAGCTGTTAGAAGCTTTGATCCAAGGTACTTAGAGCCGTTCGTGGCGGTTCTCATCGTCTCCCTGCCTGCTATCAGAAACAGTTGATGACAAGGGAATCAATCATAGTTCCTAGCAGAACCCTGCAGCACGAACCCAACAATCCTCTAAGCCACAACGAGCTGAGCAGCTTTGGAGTTGCCTGAAGGTTTAGGGTCGACTTTAAGTTCTTGGTTTAAGGGGTTGCAGGTTTTTAGGGGTTGTAAGATCTTTTCATGGATGGACTTGTCGGTGCGAGGTAGCTATTCGGGTTTTGTGGCCGGAACTGAGGTGCTGAACGGCATCATGATTGGATTCCAAACTGATCCATCCTTTCAGGATTACGATGACGTATTCTTCTACCTCGAGCTCGCCACTTGCCTGGTTGTGCCACTCTTTTTTTGCGTCAGGGTGGGGAGGAGGCTTGGCAGCTGATGTCCAGCACCGGGGAGGTCGTTGTGTTCAATCCGGCTGCTACCGTAGCGATCGTGTCCCCCCTGTTATCAGCGCTGAGGTGTTTGCTCTATTCATCTGGCTGGAGATCTTTTTGCGGATACACCTTTTAAAGTGCGCTGGTTACTGGTGTGGCCCTGAGCGATATTGGAATTACTTCGATCAATTTTTGGCTGCGACTGGAGTTGCTGACATTTCCTTGCAAATTGCATCTGACGGGCAAACTGACATTGCCGGTGCATCGCTACTCAGATTTTGCCGATTGATCAGACTGGTCCGAATTGTCAAGCTCTTTCGAGTAAAGTTTATGAAAGATCTGCGTTTAATGGTGAAGGGCTTGCTTGCTGGCATTCGGACGTTGGCTCTTGCCTTCGCCTTGCTTTTTGCTGTGCTTTATGTTATCTCTGGCTTTGCAACGATCACTCTCGGTGCGAATCCGATTGACGGGGAGGACGGCCTTCACCGCTATTTTGCCAACATACCGGAGTCAATGTTCACTGCCTTTCGATGCTTCACAGGTGAATGCATCAGTGACGCCGGACGACCTATTCAAGCCCTTCTGGCTGAAAAATTTGGATTGGCTTTCGTTCTACCCTACGTCGCATGCTACATGCTTGTGTCGATGGGAATTTTCAACGTTATCTTAGCTGCGCCTTGCCTGAACTGATCTGAAGCTTGCTCAGCCTAAACCCAGCTGCTTCTTGCGTTGCAACACATTGATGCTCATGTGGGCATTAATTAGGACTTGACCCGGGGACGCGCCATCCAGCCTCAGTAGATCATGATATTTCGATGCAGCTTAAGTCTCGCCTCTCTCGTCGGTTTGCGCCGATGTCTTCCGTATTCCTCCGAGGTATATGTGGATATCACAATGAGAGCTGCCAAAGAGAACGAGGCCACGACGGCAGAACAACACTCTCGTGAGTCTATCCGGATTGCTCGCGTGACGCGGGAACTGCTGAAGAAGTTTGCCTCGGCTCACCATCAGTTCCTCAGTCCTTGAGTCCTTCATCCTTTTTTTTGGGGGGGGAACAGAATCCCTGTTGGTATTGAGCACTTCGCATAGAAACCTGATAAATGAGGTTTCAAGAAGACGACAGAGCGACGGTAGCAAGTCGGCCGCGCCTCGATATCAATCACACATCCTTCTTCACCGACGATGAGATCAATGAGACCATGGAAATCAGCAAGGAGCTCTTCATGTTGGTTATTCAAGACTACAGTGTCCTCGGCCTCAGACAGAGGTTTAAAGACTCAACCTCATGTTAGGCGTGATACCTCAAGTAACTCTTGGTTGATGGAGGGTTGCCGAAGCAGCTTGCTGCTTTTACGAGCTTTTGATGGTGCGACTGCTGTCGACATCTCAGGTGCAGAGCTTGATGGACGATCTAGACTTGCCGCCCGATCGTGCAAACCTCTTCGAGGTCATCGATGCAGATGCTGGGCAGCGCTGTAGCACGATGTTTCTCCTATTAATTCTTTAAACCACCTGACCAACAACACTCAGCAAAGGGAGCAACCTTCTTGCTGCAGCGAAGTCTTTGTTTACACATCGCTGCCATCATTACCATGACTAAGTTAATGCTTGACTTTTCCCCCTGTTACTACTACGTCAATTACGTGTTAGAGCTGCTAGATCGAGGACGGCAGCGGCACGCTGAAGCTAACCGAGCTTGTGCAGGGTCTCCTGAAGATCCGCGGAGTTCCTTGGGCACGGTGAGGTGTTTGGAGCAGTGGATGGTTCGTGGTTGATATAGTAATTTCGATACACCATAGTACTTTTTATACATATAGATTCGTAGATTATACACACGTAACGCCTAAACCCTACAACATAGGGCCGTTTACCATTCAGGACCCCGGCTGCAGGGAAGTCTTCTGAGCCACCTCATCGTTCATATCAGCTCTGAGGAAATCAACAAAAGCGACACCGTCGCCGCTCTGCTCGCCATCAAAGCTGTACAAAGCATGGTCAGTGAGATGAAGGAGGATGGCAGTAAACTTGACTGAGCTCGCCTTCCTAGGATCCTATTGACTCTCCGGAGGGGTACTTTGCCAAACCTGAAAGCATATCATGAGAGCTCATGGTTTCAGACTCCAGAACTCTGCGTTCTGCCTGATGTCTCCTTGGCCAGCATTGGCATTGCCAGACTGAGCCTAGTTCGTGCTTTGCTGGGTTTAGGGGCTTTGGATCCGGGACTTTGGCAGGCACCTGGGGGATGTTTGATTCAGGGCTCAGGGATGCAATGTGGAGAATGGCCACGAGAGGAGAGCTCCAGCCATCTGGACTCCTTGAAGCGAGACTTGGAAAGGCAACTTGGCAAGCATGGACATGCAGATATCTAATTTGTGGGAAGGAACACCGCCGTATGTTCACCCAAATCGTGCATACGGCTGTGCTCCTGCAGGAAGATACCAAGTAAGTAAGGCCAGGCCAATACAATACAAGATGCACAGGTGGTTCTGCGACGGGAGCAGATATGTAGACCTTCAACAACAAGACTTCACCAACACCTCTGCTGCATGTGTAGGCGTGAACATGAACGTACAACACGTGTTGAAAATCCAGGCTGAAAAAGACGAACCAGCGGCAAGGCAGAGTAGTTTTAGATTAGCATTCCAGCTTGCAGGCCTCTTTACATGATTTTTCAGTGGAGGCCAGGAAATTACTGCTCTTGTCAGTGTGCTGAGCATCTCTAGAACACTCGATTCGATTTTGTGACTTGAGCCGAACAGGGCACTGTATAGTATAGTCTCAAGTCTTCGAGTAACCCGAAGCTGACTTTGAGAGTCGTCCTGCTCTTTGCAAGCTAGCTAGGGAGAACCGTCCTCGCAGACACTGGTTCACGCAAGGCCTGCGCGACAGCAAGCAAGCAAGAGAGAGACTGTGTGTGTGGGTGGGTGGCTGGGTGGAGCGGGTTGTTGTGGTAGGTTGCTTGGCTGAATGGCTGTGGAACTTTACACATTCCCAGTGTCAATCCGCGATGCAATGATCTCAAAAATCGAAGTTTTGAACTAGATACACGTCTACAGTCTACATATTCGTACACCTTGCTTCGCTCGAGGCAGGTATTGGCCCTTGGAGAACGGCCGCAAGCGATGCGGTTCGAGAGCCACTTGAACACATTACTTTCAAGCATCGGGTGACGGCTTGTTGTCTTCCTACGGTATGGTGGCTTTCGCTTCTCGGTGTGTCCCCGAAACTGAAGCCGAGCTCTGAGGCAAAAGCAGGGCGCGCGAAAAGCCCAGGGACATCCTGGCCGAGCCGGACACTAGAGATCAGAGCGTTTGCCGGCTTTTGCAAGGGTTCCTGACCCAATTTTTTTGGTCAAGGAGTTGAATGGCCCCAGTGGTCTTCAGGATTCCTGGAGTTCCATCATTCACGACCCGAGATCCGGTCGCTGTTGAGTCTCGCCTTCCTAGACACATAGAGGCTGGTCTCCGATTCTAAACGAAGCCCGGCACCTGGAGCAAGAGCTTCTGCTTCTGGCATGGACTAGGCTCAGGCGGCACTCGCGGAAGCCGGAAGATGTTCGATCTCTGTCTGACGCAGGACCTTTTTGCTTCGGCGCGGGCGCAAGTGTCCACGGAGGTCCTCAAGGACATGCTTGCAGTAGCCAGGCCATGCGAGGCCTTGGGTTTCCCAGACATAGGAAAGGAGGTTCCGGCTACGCCACTGGGGAAGGTGCTGCATGCTTTCAGCACCGGGTCAATACTCGTGCAGCTTGGTGACAGAACAGCCCTCCTGTCTTACGAGAGTCGCCAATGTCTGTAAGAAACCTGCAGGATGCGTTCGCACCCTCTCTGGCACTGCCGCGGCCTTTCCACTTGTTCCAGTCATCTCGAGTAGAAGGATAGATGGATGGCGAAGGGATGCGGCCGCCGCGAAGTTACATGTGCATCAATGTGAGGCAGTAGCACATGGTTTTGTCACCAAGACTCAGCAACACGTGGCTGCCGGACCGATTCAGGCCCCTTCCTCTGCGTCCAGAGGCAGTTCTCGCTGACGTCGAAGTACAACCTCCACCTTTGGAGGTTAGCGTAGAATAGCGCAGCCTGTTACCATCCAAAAGGATGTCCAGCTCAGGCATGCCAACATCGCGAGACAACTGCGATGTCAGAGTTCGTGATGTTGCAAACTTCAGAATGAAGATCCCAGCGCCATGATGCAATGATGCCCAATCAACACCGGTCTTCTTGGGCCCAATGCGTGGACGTTGAAGTTGTCCGTTCTAACAATGTACAGAAGTAGCATGTCAGGCAGGCTGCATATATACACGAATCATACGGAAAGATCGCAGTGCCTCACGCTCACAGATGCGCCGATCAGTCTCAGTGCCTCAAAGAGGCCTGCATGGTCGACTCTGCGATGTGGTCACGGACTTGCTGTGACTTATCCTCCTCAAGCAGCCCTGGCAGCCTTGTCTTGGTGCGCGGGCACCCTTTTGTTCCGAGGAGTTTCACTTCATCTCGCCTCGCCTCACCAGCCCCATCCCGGTAAAGAAGCGAAGGCGACTTACCTGCCAGTTTTCCTTGAAGAGGCCAGCTTGCAGCCTGCATTTGCCTAGTCGTTGTGGCCCAAACGGTTAGCAGCCACACCAGTGACACTGCAACTGAAACTCGCGCCGGCACCAGATCAAGTACGTATAGGCGCTACTGGGTAGGCCCTGTAGGCCGGACCAAGATCATGCCTGCGCTTGGGCTTCAAGTCTTCAAGGATGATCGCAACGAAGGCATTACAAGGCTAAGAGGCGTCGCTCCAGAATGGATTGTTTGCTATTGGCTCGCTGTGTCGGACCTGAAGGTAGATTGGCTGGTGCATGTGGGGTTTCGGCATGTTGCCACACTTCACCAAGTTTGCGCAGGCATGACAGAGGAGAACGCAGCACATGGTCAGACAGACTTCGGACATGCTGCTTCAAAAGACCGTAATTAGCTGTTTCATGTGCGCAATGGACAAAGATGGCTTCGAGAAGTTCCTGGATGCCTCGTGGCGTGCTTTCCGCAAGCAGCTGTTGGAGGCCTACCCGGAAAACCAAACCAATGCATCTCCTCTGGATGTGCAGCTGAAGCTCGCCGAGCTTGAACAGCACCTTCAAGAAGCAAGAGCTTCCAAGAAGGAGCAGCTCTTGGAGACTTGACTGCATCGGAGCTGTGTCCCTGCGCGCCTCAACAGCGAGTGAGCTGCTCGTGAACTCCCAGAGCGCCAGCAGCGTCTCTTCTTCAGGCCGTCGGCCCCATTTCGTCCACAGTCAGCAGCCGGGGTTCCGGGCCACGGGCAATGCCATCCGCGGCAGCCCCTGCTTCAGACGCCAGCGCTCCTGCTGGGTCACCGCAAACGCCGCTTGGCCGACTTCTAGGCAAAAGAGATTGTTACCCATGCATGACCCATGCAGCACAGTCTGAGGTTGACAATTGAGACCGAGTCCCCGAAGTCCCCGCAGCACATCGAAGATACGCCACCACAGAGCCTTGCCTTCAATGTAGGAGCATCACACCTTGCTTGTGCCTCTTATGTAAGGTCCCCGAAGTTCACCGTACCCTTCCTTGGTGCTGGGCTTCTTGGGCTCAGCGTGCCATGGCCTGAATGAGGTGCTTACTGATCGTGGAATTTTCAAGCGTTGGATGTAAACAGGCTTCCAGTTCTTGTATGTCAATGTGGTTCCCACGCAAAATGTACTGCATCAGCACTTCCGCATCGTCCGGTGTTGAGCCTCCACTGCCCTTTGGATCCGCGCCGAGGACGAGGAGGCACAATCCATTCGCCATCGCCTGCGGGTGCGCCTCGGCGTCATCTCTGCGAAGCAGCAGCCTGGCAGAGAAAGTCTTGTCATTATAATTCTGAATATGTGTTTACTGCTCCATTTAAATTAGTATGGGCATTATCCTGGTTATTCTTACTAGAATCAATAACATTAGTAGTAATAAAAAAAGAATACTTATTGTTATTATGACTCTCATAATTATTAATACCACTACCACTACCACTACC